TAACGAAACTAGAAAAAAAAAATAAACAGAAATAAAAACAAATTGTATAATAAGTACGCAGTCACAGTTATATTATTATTGAAGCTTTTCCCAAAATATTTTTATATACTTCCGAATGGCAAGGTTTTTAATTGCTATACATACCCAGGTTTCAATAATATATATATATATTATATGTTATACAGAATATAAACCTATATACATAAATACATAGTTACGTTTCTGTACAGTAGTCGGTACATCGGTACTAAACGGTAAATAATATAAAAATGTAACTTTTAACAACAAAATATTTAGGTCTCTGGGATTTTTAAATATAAAAAAGAAATACAGGAGATCGAAGCAAAATGGTGAAAGAGAAAAAAACATAAAGTACATTTTATAATAATAATACTAAAAAAAAATCATATGTGCAGTTAATCACTCAAAATAATATTCACTCTCTTTTTTATGTTATTATGAAAATATTACTATAGTATTGTTAAATATTCTCTATATTTAAATACATATATACGAGTAGTTAGGTAGGTGGAATATGAGTTTATTATTATTACTAATTTTGATTTCTAAAATTCTTCTTGATATACCAGTTTTTTTGTGGTATTGAGAATTTTTATATTATAATTTTTCTCCTTAATATCACATGCTCATGTTTGTTTGATAAAGAAAGGTAAACGTGTACAAAATTTTCAAACTCTTATTATGTGTATAACATATTGGTATAATTTACTTACATTATAATGTACATCACATGCTAACTGTTATATTGTATGAACAAATGTGTATAAAGAAGAGCAAATGAGAAAAGTAAAGTAAACAAAAATGTATAGAGAAAATAATGCGAAAAAGAAAATATAGAGAAATTTCCTGTCTGAATAAAGAAAAAAATATTTATTTTTTTATATCTGTATTTTCAAAATGATTCCCCAATTTCTAATTCACAATGTGTTGATAAAAACGAGAGAATCAAGGTCTCTAAAATTAAAATATTATATAAAGCTAAAGTTATAATTTTATATACGCATACTTTTTAAAATTTGACTATGGAATTAAAGCTTTTAACAAAAATGGTTTTCCGCGATTTCTATACAAACATATGCATATTGATATATTCGAATGAATCCACATAATTATACACTTATGTATGCAGTGTATTTAAAAATTATAAGTTCCCCTCGTATACTTACATATATAAAATATATACACATACATATGCTAAGGCTAAGCTAATATAAATGAAGTATATGTATATGTATGTATTTAATAATAAAAAAGAAAATCAAAAATTTGTGCTCAATTTTACTTTGACCTAAAACGTGTCAAATAAAAGACTGATCAACTGAATATACAAATAAAAAACTTTTATAATATGTACATTAAAAAATAACAAATTACAAAAAAAATTTAGGTATTCTAAATCATTAGAAACCATTTAACACTGCCTGCTGTATAAGTAGAATCAAAATTAAATAAATTGAGGAAATATTCAATTATTATTTCTATTCACTTTAATTGGAGTGTAAGAGCGAAACCAAACCAACAACTGTACAATAGGAATATGAAAATTTTTTTTTCAACATAAAATGTGCATTTTGTGGTTTCATAATATTATTATTGGTATATTTTATTTACAATATTGTATCTATTCATATAATAGTCATACATATGTACATATATATGTATGTATGTACATATGTATATAGTAGCCCGCAACATCAAAAATTTTATGAAGTACAAATAAAGGTTGAATAATAAACGTTAAAATGTTAAAGAAAATAAGTATATACATGCATACATATAAATGTACATACATTATAAATTTTATATACATACGTAATCAAAATGCTTTGTAATTTATAATAATGATAATAAATATCTGATAAATTGAGTCTATAAATAGGAGAACATTGAAAAATAGTTAAAAAAAAATATTGCAATTTTTATAAATTCCATGTACACATGACGTATTTATGTATAGATATGCTTAAATAGATATCCATGTATTTACACATGTACGTAAATTAATTTAATATTAAAATTGTACTTATGTACGTATATGCATATGGATGTTCATATGTTGCCGTATGCGTGTATGTACATATATTACAATATACAAAATATGATAAATATGGAAAATGTTTTTTTTTTGTAGAACAGTTTAATATCAGAAATAAAAATAATATTTAAAATATTTCAATTACGTTTAGTTCACACATTCAATTATTATTCATTTTGGTAAATATTTGTTCAGTCTGTACATACATATATATGTAAGTATGTACGTACATACATAATTTTATAATGAATAAGACTCATTATTATGAGATGCCGGTGAATCACTATGGGGAAATAGAAAAAAAAAAGTTATTTTAGTTTTTTTTTTTTATTAAATTTTATTAAATAAAAACTATAATAAAAAGTTTTAATTACTTGTAGTATTTTTTATAAAATTAAATAAATTTTGATTTTAGTCATATAATAAATTAAATTTGCTCTAAGAATGTAACATACAGTATACATACATATATTAATGAATATCTAGCATACAGTGCACATTTATAATTTAATAAATTATTTTTAATAGCTCTAAGTACAAGTTGTTTAATAGAATGACATTGTTGAGTAATTAATTTTTTTAATTAATTTAATTTTAATACAGTTTTGCATACATATTTAAATGTACATGCAATAAATAAAATTTTATATTTTTTCAAAAAAAAAAAAAGACATTGAAACAGCATGTTTGATGTGTGATTAATTTAGGTAACCTCGATTAATGTGTATGACCAACATGTTTTATTTCGCTCCCCCAGAATTACTTATAGTCTTCGTATACATTCATACATAAGTCTTAAGATTTTTATGGAATATACTTCAAATTAAAATGTTATCAGTGATAGCATGATACCCTCACAAATGTTGAGCTATTAACAAAATGTTAACTGTATGGAATATGCAAATATAATACGTATACGCTCCCCAAATCTCTTAATTACAACTAGAACAAAAAATCACTACATAATATTTCATACACAAAATTTTCAAATCATCATAGGTATGCTAATATTTTATTTCAGTGTAATAAAAATATTTGAGGAGAATAATTTAATAATCATTTCATATGATAATTTTTCTTATCAAAAACTAATACAAAAATATGAAACAATAAATGTGGATATTGTATGTACATATGTATGTATATATGTATTATATGCAATTATATTATATTTTCAGATTTGTCTCTTACTCTCTTCGCTTTTTCAGCTACGTTACGTATTTGCCTTAACATACGTATTATTTTGTCCTTTATTAATAAACGAAAAGTAGAATATAATAGAAAACAGCGATATTATACGTGCATACTTCGCTTTATAAGATATACTTAATATACATATGTACATAATAGTATATAACGTGTTATACTAACAAACATAATACATTGTAGCATATACCATATTTACATTGGTATATAAAATGATATCTGATATCTATATCTTCATAAATATGTGTATGTGTATAAAAGTTATGATAGGATAAATTTTTAATAAAACTTTAAAAGCTTAGCATATTTTAAATTTGTATCAAAAATTTTTTAATTAGCGTAGCAAACATGCATATATACTTAAACTTACGTACATAAAACTATTTTACATAATGCTCATGTGCTTTTTTTTCTGAAATTATTTCAATGTGTGTAATATATGATTGCGTTTGTATATGTATGTCATGTGTTATGTAGGGGCAATCATTATGTTACCAATATATTTTGAGCGTAATGTAACATTTTTAACGCGTATAATTATTAATATAATTTTTTTTTTTTTGCATTTATTACGACGTAAAATTTAATTAAAAATCGTTCAGAAGTTGTGACTTAAAAAACAAATTCAAAATGGATTTGTATTTGTTATACTTTAATGTATGATTGCGTTGCGTTCATTATTGATTCTTTTACATCGCATAGTATTCGCATTTTATATATTGAATATTTAATATATTAAATACAAACACAAAGAACCATATTGAATGAGTAACATACCGAACATACCACCGTATACATTATATTATTTATAAGAAAATTTACTCAATTATCCGTGAATATTTAACAGAAAATTTCTTGAGTATGTATAAAATATTGAGTATTTTTCGTTTCATTATAATAATATACTGGTTGTGTAGGGGAAATATTACGTTAAAATTGATATAAAAGAAAACACAACTATTCAATCAATAAATTGCGATAGACTCACATACTTATATATTCATTTATTATTACAGCGATGAAATAAAGAATGTTGGTTTTGATTTTTATATTTTTTTCTCTCCTTTTAACATGGTATGTATTAGATAGAGGCGCAGGCAAACCAATGTGTAATTCAGAAATTTTAAAATACGTACGATGAGACTGAGAGCAATATTAAAAAAGTTAAATAGCTGTACTCTCGCTAAATACCAGTATAAAAGTATACATATTTTTTTTTTTTGCTCTTGCTTTCTGATATACTAATACTACCGTTATAAAATTTTTTTTTCTTTTGCTTTGTTTTTTTTTTTCGTTATGAGAATTATAATACATTGATATACCAACCAGTTCAGTAAATGTCAATAAGAATTTATATTGCGGGTATGATACAACCAGATTTCAGTAGTGTTGTTCATTCGTTATTTTATTATCGTTCGTTCCATATAAAAATTGTCTAACGTATAAAAAAAAAATATTTAAAAAAAAATATATGTAAATAAATTTACAAAAAATAATTATTCGTACATATATATTAAAAAATAAATAAGAGAAACTAATAAAAAAATAAAAAAAAAATTATTAAAGCAAAAAAAAAAGAAAATATTTTAAATTTATCATAAAGTACATATTACATACTTATGTACATACATTTTTAATAAATATTATAAAACATACATACATATTATTATAATTATATATAACGTGTATATGTATGTATATATGTATGTATATATTGAATTTATAAGAAGAGCGATTATGTGTATATAAAATTTTTTTTTTCCTCTTCTGTTTTCTTTTCATTTTCAATTTTTGCATTTCTTATTGTTATTATTATTATTATGTTATCTCTGTGAGAGAGAGGGTAAAATATATACAACAAAAGAAAAAAAAAAAGAAAAAATTTTTTTTCACATTTTTTTTCCTGAAATTTTTAACAATTTCATCATTCGAGCAAGTGTCGAGGTAGTTTCGACTACTCTTTTTTAAATTCAAAATAAAAATTTGTAAAAAAAATCAGAAAAAATCAAATCCAATATAAATTTTTATTATAAAATATGTATATATAAAAAATACATAAGTACGTATACATACATATATAAAAATTTATTTTTGTTTTGTTAAATTAAATTATTTAATTTGAATTAACTAAAAATTATTGCGCCTTTGTTACACAAGCATAAATAAAAAAATTAAAATAAAATTTATACCAAAAAATTAAAAACATTGATTAAAATTAAAAGTGATTCTAAAACTGTTATACATAATTAATATAAAATTAGTTGATTATGAAATTAAATAAATATGCACATACATACACATAAATAAAAATTTTTATTAAAAAATTCAAATTGATAATAAATAAATTGTTTAATAAAACAAAAAAAAAATTAAGAAATATATATATAAAAGGAATAATAATAATAAAAGCAAAAAACAATAACGTAAATAATTTTCTATATTTTATGCAATATTTTATACATATATATAACATAAATTTACAATAATAAAAAAAAAATATAAATATTTCTACATTATTATACATTTATACATATGTATGTATATTTACATACTATAATATTATACTGACAATATATTAGTTTTATTTGAGATATCAAAAGCAAAAAAGAAATAAACACAAACGAATAAGTAATTTCTATTTAAATATTAATACACATGTAAATAGTAAAAAATATTTTTTATTAATAAAAAATATAAATATATCTGTTATATTCATAAATATGTATATCTACACGCGCAATATTGTATATCTAAACGCGTAATACAAAATATTATATTTTGACCTAACTAAATAAAAAATTTTAAGACGACGACGTTGTGGTCTAGTTAAAACTTTATTCGACTTCAATAATTTACAAATCATTGAGTAAACAAATAAAAAAAGATGTAATAATTTACATTTTAATTATTTATTCGCCGAATTTCATTTCAATTACCCCAGTGAACCGTTAATTAATACTTACTACATACCTACTTACATATACGAAAATATGCGTGTGCAATTGAAATTATCAAATTTTTAATTTATAAAGTGCCAAAGGCAGCAGCAATTAATTGAAATCAGAAAAAAAAAAAAATTCCAATATTTTAATGTGAACTGTTGGGACAAAAATGATTTTAATAAATTTGTTATTCCAAATGAAATGGAAATGGAATTTATTTACTTATATTATGCTCGTTATTCTCTCTCATTTTCTCTTTCTCTAATTTTTTTTTATTACATATTTTCAATTGATTTAAATAATTTAATTTATCCATTGTTGTGTCGGTATAGTTGTTTTAAAAATTGTATTCAATTTCAATAATAATTTGGTTTGTGCGTATATATACATAAGTATGCACTAGTACTTAGCTCATATAAAATTATAATCAAGTACATATACCTACATATGAACGTATATAACAAAATTTATCATAATATAAGTAATCATAAATATTTAGAAATTTTTCAATTTGCAAATTGAAAAAAAAAAAATTTTTTAATTTTGCTAATTTGTTTTCTTTGATTTTAAATTGATTTCGTTGAAATATAGGAAAGTACACAAGAAATATACTTTAAGAAATACTTATACTTTATGTACTTTAGTTACTAATTGTAGTTACTTTACAAAATCCCAAAATAATACAAACTAAACACAAAAGTTTTCTTATTCTTCAATTCGATTTGTAAATTGAAATTTTATTTTTTTCAAATATTCCTTTGAATTCTGCATATGTGTATTCACATGTGCAGATACAAGAACTTTGAAACCTATTTTTTTTTGAATTAGTAATTATTACTTTCATTTAATTATAAAAGAGTATTAATTTAATACATGTGTCAAGGAATTTATTCTAAATATTTTAATTTTATTCAATTAAAATTTTTATTTTCAATTAATTTTATTAAATATATATATTAGATAAACTACCTACTTAAAAATAGGGGTCCATTATTAATTATGTGCCCATAATAATTATTATTATTAATAATGATTTAATAACTCCAACTTCCAGTAATAATGGCCATTATAAGTTACATAATTTTTTAGATATTAATTTGCATATTTAATAAATAGCTTATAAATATAATTATATATAAATGTTTTAAAAAAATAATTTATACGATGGAATTTATTTATATGTATATGCATATTTATTTGCAAAATTAATTACTTTAATTATTTAAATTTTGTAATAATAAATTATATACATTTAACAAGACTTGTGTATATTTTTCTTTTTAATTAATGAAAGACAAATTTAAAATTAAATTAAATTTTATAAAGATTGTTTTTTTTTGTGAAATAAATAAGTGAATTCAAGTTCAACTTCTTATTTAATTATCTACATAAATAAATATAATTATACATTATGCGATAGTACATATATAAAGTGCATTATTTTTAAAAAAAAATTTACAAAATATTTAAAATATTTTTGTTTTTATTAAACATTTTATTATCTAATAGTATATAATTTAAATATACTCACTTACATGTTCATGAATATTTATAATTCATGAAATAAAATACTTTTACTATATAAAAATCACAAAATTAAAACAGAATTTTAAAATAATAATAATAATAAGAATTGCATATTAAATTAATTATATTATATTTTATATATATACAATACATATGTACATACATACATATGCAATACTTTTTTTTTTAAATATTTATTTATTTTTTTTTTTTTTTGTAAATATATAATATATTTCAATATTAGTTCATATATATTTATACATAGAAAAATATAAAATAAAAAATATATAATATGAAATTTAAACAAGGTGGTTTTGAATTTATTTTCAGATATAATGTGATATAAATAAAATTTAAGTAAAGAAAAAGAAAAATAAAATAAGAATTCAAATAAAAATTCAAATTCGGAATTTCAGAAGAAAAGAAAAAAAAAATAAATTCTTAAATACATAAAAATAGTATATAAAATTAAAGAAAATTATACATAATATAAAATATATAAAATAGTATAAAATCATTTACTTATATGTATATATATATAAAAATAAAATGAAAAAAGTTTTCAAATACAAAGAAAAAAGCAAAGTTTTTACAATAAGTTTTCAAATTTCTTAAAAAGAAGCATACGTTTATGTGTTTATATAATAATAAAATATATAATATCTGTATATATATATATACATATATATATCCAAATGAGAGAGTATATTATATATAAAAAAAAAATAATTTCGCTTTTATATAAATAGTATATTATATAGAACGAAAATAAAGAAAGAGAACGGGAGTAAAAGAAAAGAAAAAGTGAAAAAAAAAAGCTTTTTAAATAATTTTGATGAGTAAATAGAAAAGAGCGAGTATAAGAGCGAGAAAAAAAGAAGAAATTAAACAACAACACAAAAATAATAATAATAATTACAATAAAATGTTATAGTAGTTGTTGCTACGGGTATATTAAATATATTTTGTTTTATTGTTTTTCTAAATAAAATATTAATATTTTCTTAAGATTTAATTTTTTTTTTTCTTTGCCTAAATGCATTGTTAAGAGATAATTATTAATAAAATATTTAATTATTTATATAATATATACTAATATATTTTATATTTATTTAAAAATTTAATTATTATAATTATATATTATGCCTTTAAATAAATAAGTATTTAGTATAATATTATTTAATAAAATTTGATTATATTTAATATATACATACATCTATAAATTTTATTATAGGAAAATAACTAAAGTATATATACTTAATATATATATATATATAATATTCTAATATAATAATTATAATGAAAATAATATAGGTATTTCATATTTATTATATAAATAAGAATAATTATTAATTATTTTTTAATACATATATTTAAATATGAATTATACATACTTATATACATTTATAAATATTATATAAATATTTCTAAAATTAAAAAAAAAAATTAAATCATTTAATAATTAAATTTAAATGCATAAATTCTTTTTAAATATATTTAATTTATACGCATATAAAAATAGATAAAAATTAAATAATAAATTAAGAAGAAAAAAAAATATTTATATATATACATTTTTAAATTAAAATTATTAATTAAAATTAAATAAAAAATAAATAAGAACAAGAAAAAAAAAAGAAAACTAGAAACGTTGATTTTTCTGAAGAACAATTTCTCAAAATAAGGTGAATAAAATACTACAAAATATCTAAGTATTTATTAAAATTACTTAAGTTTTATGTTTACAGTTAATGTTTTTTGATAATTTTTTTTTGTTATATTTTTTCCAGTTTGTTTTTTTTTTAAATAATTTACCTATGTTTTTCTGTTTTTTTTTTGAAATACCTTTACTTAACTAAGTACTTACTTATATTTTAATATATACATGTAAGAGTTTTATAATAAAATTATTTTTCAAATAAAATTAATTAAAAGAAAATTTACAAATTATTTGGATTAAGTATTTGATTTACTTACAATCATTATTACCTACAATAATCATCATGACTTAAAGAAATTTTAAAAATATTTCATATTTTCATTACAATGAATTTTATATTTAGTACATATATATTTAATTTTTTTCTCTATATATATATACTACTTAGTATATACTTACCATATTTTTGAAAATTCTTTGTTTTTATTTTACTTAATATAAATGGATGATTAAAGTTACATATATTTAAAATATATAAACTTTAAATTGAAATTTAATTTCGAAATCAATTTTTTAATTACTTGATTTTTTAATTTGAATTTTTTTTATTAAAATTATGTAATTCCTGAATCTTTTTAATATGTGTAGTTTTTATACTTATATAAATTAGTTTAATTCATTATTGAAGCCCCATACTTGAAGTATACAATATTGTAGGTGCAATATTTATGCGACAGAAATTGTTTCAGCTGAATGTTAATTATATAGATTATGAAATAATTTTGATATATTCAAATTTCATTATTATACAGTCAAAATAATTTAATTATATTAAATGAGAACAATTAATTATCAAAATTTTGAAAAAAATTCATAATTACTTATACAGTATACATGCCGTTTCTTACTCACATATGTATATATATACATATTATGTAAGTAAATACCTAATTTTTTACAACAAAATCAAATTTTTATTTATTCTACATACCAAGTAATTTTATGATTTGATTTTAATAAAATTTACAAATTTTTATCTTAAAATTATACTTAAGTTTATACAATTTACAAACAAAAAATATTTTTGCATATCAGCTGGTGTGATATTTCGACAAATTAATCAAGTAATTTAGAAATAAATTAATTTCCAAGAAAAAAAAATGATTCTACCTTAAGTTACTGAATAATGACATAAACCCAACACAATGATTAAAAACTAATTTGACGCAAGTGTTCGTAATATCGTAAATTTGTTTTGAGAATTTCATGGGAACTACCATAATTTAGTAATAAGATAATAATGGCTAGAGAATATTTTTGAGATGTTTCTTAATAAATTTCATGGAGATAGCGCATTTGATTTTTTGGCAAATAAGCTTCTTGAGTTGTTAGAAAGCCACCCGAATCTGTCAAATGATTTTTAATACTAAAACTTTCAGTATAAAGTTGAGCTGAATACTTATTTGGACAGCTAAATTTAATACAGCTTGTTTTATAATTTTTTTAAATGCTTATTTAAAATTAGTTTTCCGAGTTGTAGGATAGTTAGTCAGATCAGTACAACTACCATATAACTTGATGTTATATAGTAGTCGGAACAGTAAACACCATATAATTCCATTAAAATTTTCAGCATATACGCCTAAACTAATTGTGTGCACGAATTACTTTTATTAGGTTTCAAAATATTTAAAATTATTTTTTTAAGTTGTAATGTAGCTTTTCGGAAATGATGCTCGAATTTGTTCAATTACAATAGGAGAAACAATTTCTTAAAATTTCTAAAGTAATTTCTTTTCCGATCGGACAAAAAGGTGGACGAGCAACTCCATGCCGAACATAAAATATTCTTCTTTAGAATGTAGGGTATGAAAAAGTATTTATAGTCTTGAAAATTTGCTATTTGATATATCGACAATGGTTTTAAATATAAATAAATTCCAGCGCTATGCAAAGTAGAATTCGGTAGAAACACTAAAAATCACGAAAATATAAAATTTCTGTGTTTTGGCGAAAATTATTCATCTTTAATAGGAAGACTAATTAAAATAAGATAATGTGGTTGCTAAATGTTTTTTACATATATATTTGATTTAAATATATATTTATTATTTAAATATTTACTTAGCTATTTAAATTAATTGTGGAAATATTTCAATTCTAATTGTATAATGTTTACATGCGTTAATTAATTAAATTTACCTTTTCGACTCACAGTATTCATTACATTCGTAATTTTTCTCCTCCCCTTTCAAGCTCCAGTTTATAATCACAATTAATGTATTTAAATATTTGTAAATTCATAATTAAATTCATAATTAAATTCAAATCAAATCAACTCAGCTTAAAACATACTTAACTAGCAACTACCATCTTTCTTTATATTCATTATAGCTACATACACACATAAACATGAAATATACATTTTCATTGAATCAGTAAATTAACATCGAATCAGCTGATGACATTAAAAGCTCAAAAATATATAAAAGATAACAAAAATTTTGAATTTAGAAATATTTTTAAATGTTATACGTTTATTTTTTTTATTTATATTCGTACCTTAATGTTATTCAAGTCTATACATATATATGTGTGTATTTTAAATATTATATTCAATTTTATTTTCTATTTTATACCCATACATACATGCATACATACATATATACATGAATTGTTTTTGTATAACTAAATATTTTAATTTTTTTTCTTTTTATTTTTCTCATATTTTTATTGTTATTTTATTTTAAATTAATTTGATTCCTATAATCTCATGATATCGTATACATATATATACTGATTTAATATTTAAGTATATTAATATAAAACGCTTTTGCACTTTACCATTAAAATCTCACCTTTTAAAGAAAAGAAGAAAAAAAAATAATCATAATAAAAAAACAAACTCGAAATCAAATCAACTTATATAATCATAAAAATAATTAACGTTTCTTGTTTTTTTTTTAATACATTCATATAATAATTTTACATACGTACATCAACATACGAACTATAAATATATTTATATCAAATTAATATTATTATATAAAGCTCATAAATCGTATATTTTCTTTTTGAGTTTCAAACAAAACCATCATTCATATTATATATTTCAATTAATTAAAAATAAAAATATATTACTTAAGTATTATTAATGAATTTTCATAATAATAATTATTAATAATAAAATAATTTAATATTAAGTGAATATTTACAAAAAAAAAAAAGTATAAATTACAACCATAAATAAATAACGGTGGTCGGGAACTGCTGTTAGCTCTAAAAATTTTTATTTTTTATTTTTGAAAATTTCATACTTATTTAATAATCTATTACTTCAAAACAGTAAATTTGACATTAAACATGTACAATATCGTTATGTAGGTTTAATAATTGAGAAAAAAAGTTGTAAACACTTCACTGTCCTAAGTCCAACCAATTCGGAACAGTTGTGAATATTTTTCATGCTTAGTTAGCGATTACTCATAAATGTTAAATTTGACATAAAACATGCGCAATACCGTTATGAAGGTTTATCAAATGAAAAAAAAAGTTGCGAACAACACGTTGCTCTAATTCTAACAGTTTCAGAACTCTTATTTATGAAAATTTGTTAGACAGAACTTTTTCATTCTGATTTTTTTTAACCTTCCAAAACCGCTCTTGGATGTTCCAGTTTTTTTTCTTTCCCTTACACATTTTTTTTCCTAAAAAATTACAAAAAATCATCACCCGCCCAGGTGATTTTCAGAACTCCAACTTTGAGCCGCTCCTTATATATTTACAATTAAAATTCATATGTATACAGTATGTTCGAGACTCGATGATAATTTCAAAGTAATAAAATAAAACGGGTTCTTCTCAAATGAGATATAATAATAAAAGTATGAGAGAAAAATATCCAATTTTTAAATTTTTCCTCAAATTTATTATTCTGGATTTACGAAATATGAAATGTAAAATTAAATTAATAACATTGACTCTCGCATACCCCATATATTTACTTAGTTTATGTTACACACAAGTATGAAATTGAAATATTTTTGTATTTAATATTTACCATCTCTTTTTCCATTTTACATCTTAATCTTAATTTTATTTTTAAAGAACAATACTTACATATATTTCAATATTTTATTTTTTGTAATTTTTAAAATTAAATTTTTTTCTATACCATTTATTTATAATGTTATATAACTTTCATTTCATTATAGAGCTTTGATGTGTCTATATAAAAAAAATTTTATTGTGTTATAATCAATTAATTAAATTAATACTAAGTATATAATACA